AATCAATCAATCATCCAAACCATCCCGCAGAAACAGGTAGAAGACCACAAAATAACGCTGGTTAACAAAGTAACGCTGCTCGCGTGCTCAGAGGTTGGAATTGTTTGGGCACGTCATGCACACGTCACCTCATGGTCGGATGCTGGAGAGGGTTGGGAAGAGATCTGGCTTGCGAAGGCAGCGCGGAGGAGCGGCAAGGGTTTCGAGCTCGCCTCCTCTCATCCTCGTTTCGCGCCGCGTCAAAAAACCTGTTTTCTCCGCTCATGATGAACCAATTCGAAAAATTTTTGTGGCAAAATGTTCCTCATCGGACACCCAACAACTACCACTGTCTAACTCAAATTCGGTGTGGGGCTTGGTGAGTGGCCCTTTAGGCATCGTTACAGGAACTCCTGCGAAAGCAGAACGATAACAGCTTTAACAAATCTCGCGAAGGATTGGCAGCATCGCCATCGATTCTCAAAGTAGTTTGAATAAAAGATACATCTGTATTTATAGCCTTTCATATAGAAAAATACTGCTTCTAAAATACCACCACAAAGGGTGAGCTTTCTGTCGTACAGTAAAAAAATGGGTTGAAAAAAATCGATTGTCAATCCCTTCAAGTGTGGAGCACTTTGAGCTACATAGTGCCATGCAGATTTCCTATTTTCGCTCTTGCTGTATTCGGTTTATGCCCACATCGACTGTCAGCAACTGTCAGCGCAGAGCGCAGCTCAGTGTTCTAGAAACTTCACCATTGTAGTAGATCCTTTCGGCAAGCTTACAAGCACACTACGAACATTAGAGATTCTTCTGAAACTTACATGGCCACTAGCAATAATGGTGGAATATTCAACGGCACATGTATAATTGACTGTCTGCTTATCGACAGCTGATGCTCTGTTCGCCGTTATCAGTGCCAGTGTGTATCACTGTAATCTGGCTTTACGTTTACCAAACACAAGTCCGACCAAATAAAGAGTTCCATTTTATAGTCTGCTCTGTTTATTGACATCATTACCCAATGACAATATGCTGTCGTTGTCTCATGTAGCTTGGCCTAACGCTGGCAGAACCCCATACGGCATAGCTATCTGTACCATATTAGGTGGGCACGTGAACAGCAGTCTGGTGCGGTTCCCTAATCTCTTCTGCTTTGTTGTCCAACTTACAGCATGGATTCACTTCAGTAATGTACCGCTATCTCCAGTGACATGTGATACCAGCAAGTTGTCCTGTCACCCCAACAACACGAATTTGCTTTGCTGCATGATAGGCACGTTTTCATGATTATTCCTCTACCAATCCAAGGATTCGGATCTGACCCTTTGAAGAAAAAACATAAACAAAGAGAAACGATGCTCAAAGTCAAGAGGTGTGCGGGACGTACTTTCTTCTCCCTGCCATTTCTCTCTGCTTAGCTTCCAGCACTTTCATCGGGACGAGTGAAGAGAGGAAGCAATTGCAGTGCTTGAAAAATCTTTGTAACTCTGCACACACTGGACAGATTCTAAAACTTTTTGCACTAGTGAATTTGTGAGAGAACAATAAGCTCATTTTGCAAATCTATTCCATGGCTACTTGTAAAGGTGTTGCAGGGCCCCTTTAAAGAAAAACACAGGCAAAATTTCAAAAATATGTTACTGTTTTAGACAAGCCATTAATGGAGGTAAGACTCTGTGATGAGTGAGAGGGTGTGAGGCACGTGCCGGGCGTTGGGATGTGGCGCCGGTGCGCGAGACGCCCGATAGTGCGCATACGCTCCACGTTCCACGTTCACATACGAGACTGGACAGAGAGGCTCGTGGCATGCGACCCGAGCCGTAATAGAAAATCTCGAAGGATGGGCTGTCACTGTGCAGTGGGGCTGCGAATGCAAAGATCAGGAAGGTCAGCGTCAATGCCGCGACAGAAGCAGTAGAGCCGGCCGGTTCTGAGATTGTCAGCGAAGAGGCCCGGGAAGTGGCCGCCAATCTCCGAAGGCTTGAGTGAGGCTGCCTGGACTTGCCGCAACCTGTCACAGCAGCCCCGGGTGGACTACAGCTCCTCTGCTTCGAGCCAGAATGAATGCGGCCCGGACCAGTCAAGACGCCATTGATGAGTTAGGTGTAACTGAGCCGGAGACAACGACGAAGACCAGAACACCGGCAATGAGGTCAAGCGGCTCGTTTGGTGGAAAGGGTTCCACAATGATAGGAACGTGAGGAGGACGCCAATGACCGAATTGACAGATCGTAGACACAGCGAGGGCACCCAGTCGACGTGGCAACCTGACAAACTGTTTGAACATTTCAGTATGGTGGCTAGAAGGGAAGGTGGGAGCAGCGCAGCCAGCAGGGCATAGCAGAGGGTGTAGCAGTTGTTGATGTCAACGAGAGATGGAGCATGCGTAGCTTCATAGATCGTTCTCTCTGGTCAGAAGTGTATGGCACGTGTACCGTGTGCACCTCCATTGCTACGTTTGCACTGTCGTTGGTGAAATTTTAAAGCATTGCCAAAGCATAAATAACGATGAGCAAGCCTATGAAGACTGTGAAAAGCAAACCTACAAAAATGGAAGACTCGTTCACACACTGCTTCAGTTTCAATGAGCTGAGAGCAAATAGCGTAATAAACTTGATTTCAATGCTAGCCAAAAATAAACTGACCTATGTTGGCAACAAACAATATTCCACAAATTCAACTGATAGCCTGAGCAAGTTTTATGTAATGACAAGACTGCATTTTATAGTAAAGATGGAAAACGTGGCACGAGAAAGCAAGCGGCGTCACTGAATGCGCTATTTCAAGCTTCGTCTACTTAAGTTTCACTGCATGATTGGACTCTTTGTTTGTTTCAGAACTGTCTCTTGCATGACAATTTTGATATACAAGGCTAAACATGCAGTATTAAAGCCTTTGCACTGTGGAACTCAAAACGAAAGAAATGCACCAAACATGAAACTTTCATTAGACAAACGAAAAGTAAACAACCACACAGTTAGCAGAATGAAATACTATCCATAAATGCAGCATAGTTTTTAGATGATTAAATGGTTCATGTAGACCATATCCTTTTGTAATTAAGAGCCTTTACTGACACCTGCACCTATGTTTGAGATGGCACATTAACACACACTGTAATCACGAAGTATGCTTCCTCCTACGTTTGCGTGGCAGTATAAATAGCTCATTGTTTTGGCCTTGCTGAGTTATGTAACAAGTTTACCGCACCTATTAAAATGTGCAGCCACATTCCACATAAAAAATGAGGGATCCTTAAGGTTCGCCTTAAGAGTTTAATGCAATAGTAATATCTTGTCCCTAGTGCGTACTTCAAATGCTTAGTGAACATTTTTATTGTATGATCTTATATGGGAAGCTTAAATTGTAGATTACTAAAATGTAATCTTTAAAGTTGAAAGTGATTTGCGTCAGTGAAGCTTTCACAAATGGCTGCATTCTGTGTAATGTGAATGCTTTAAACAACGAGCCATTATGCGCATAAAATCATTTCCAACTTGCCATGCACCTATTCGCGTAGTAACGCCTTTTGTAATAGATAGCCAGCTTCAAGTCACAAACCCTTATGATAATCACATGTTCTCATGCCCGATGGCAATGCACGCTTATACCACGCAATATTATCATGATATTACATGTTGCATTGCGAAACCTGACATGTATAGGATGTGTGTGTTCGTAAAGCGTGAGCGCTATTTTCACTGCATTCCCAAGCTGACGCATGGCAGTGTGGTGAGACACTTACTTGCCATGCAAACAACCCGGTTCAACCCTTACTAGAACCCGGAAATTATTATGAATAATTTTATTTGCATCTTTCTCGATTTTTTTTGTCCTGCACAAGATTATTTTTCGCTGACAAGCGCCGACAATGACTCCCAACGCCAACACCGACGTCAGAATTTCAACGAAATGAGCTCTTCAACGCTATCACGTTGAAAGTCATTGTTTGAAAGCTCTCAAGGTTCCTACCATCTCAATCACCGCATGCCCAGAAGCTTGATAGCAGGATATCCGCCACTGCCAGCCAATCTAAGCTGTGACAGCAGCGCCGCCGCTGCTGACATGATATGCTGGCGTACCCTGCGGCCGCTGTTGCTCCCACCTCTCTTTCTAGCCACCATAGTTTCAGTACTGAAAGGCCATTTTAGAAAGCTACCACCAAGGACTAGAGTTTGCTCTAACGCTTATTGTCATTAGGTATGTTTTCAATCCGTTGTAGACTGGTGTGCGCATATAGTGTTTGTGAATTCTGAGTGCTTTAATGCAAATTTCGTGCATTGCTTCGTCTGACCTTTGTATAAAGGGTGTTTGTTTTGCTACACCCGTCTCCTGTCTCTCTCGATCTAATCTATTGCAAGTGCTACCGAGATAATCGTGACGAGCACAAAAGAGTCACTTTGATGAAGTTAAGGAGACAGCGCCTTTACCAGTTGATTGGCCATCTGTTACCAGCCTTTCAGGAGATCTGTTTCACGCAAGTCCAGTTAGGCTTTTTCCCATACTAGTTTTTGCAAGCTGTTCAGTATCTGCTAGAGAGCTTACAGAGATCACAAGTTAGATAGCTTTTGTGATGGCACTCACCATGAATCAGTAAGGAATCCAGTAAAATATTTGGCCACAACAAAAGACAAAAGATGATTTTAGAAACTTCAGAAATGAATGGCATTGCAATGTAAAATGGTCCTCGCAAAACTGCTCAACTCAGTGGTTTTTTTCTTTCAGTGGTTTGATCTTGTAATGGGGACATGATGAAACCCTCATTTTGGTAGCTGCCCACTAGGGAGCCCAATAGGGGGACAAGACAAGGCTTGCCAACACCAGCTGCTTATTCAAGCTTAATTGAAGAGACAGGCGAAGCTGGGAGAACGAATAGAAAAAAGCAGGATAGCTTTCTTGGAGTCCGTCAGCGGCCTCAGCGGCTCATGACCCATCAATTGACTGGCTGTAAGAGCGCCACACAAAACAATAGCCTCGGTGGGGTCACAATAGGACACACCGAAGGCGATTCTCACCAGCACTGGCGCATGAGCAGCCGAAATCCATCTGGGCAGGTGGCAGGCACAGGCAGGTGCAGGCTGTTGTTGCCTACTCCCCAGATAATGGCATTGGAATCAACGTCCTTGTAGGGTGTCTCACAGTTGAGTAGCTCCCACATAACCACCCCATATGACCTGCGTTCCAAATAACACTTGAATAGGCATCCCACAGGGCAAGTGTTGAACACCTACCATATATCCACCTTCTCAGAGCAGGGCTCATTGCGGATCACCTCGGGTGCCATCCAGGCCACGGTGCCCGCAAAGGACATCTTGGTGCTGCGCTCACTCCACTGTCGGCAGGTGCCAAAGTCGGAAATCTTGAGCACATCATTGTAGCTGATTAGAATGCTGTTGAATGAGAATCAGTGTAAGCATACAACAGAGGCTAATACAAGCACTTACTTGTACCATCAAATCAGACTTGAATAGTTTAGACGTGCTTGCTGCAATTGCAGTGCAACATAGATGCCTAGTTTAATCAGCCTAGCATATGTACAGCACCACCTTCCAAAGGGTCTTACAATTAAATTTTTTCTAATTGCCGACTTTACCATGGTGATTCTGAACATAATCTCCAACTGGTAAGCCTGCTGGGAAAACAAACAGCCTGTGTACTAAAATCTAGCCCCTGAGCGGTGAAAAAAAAGAAAGGAAAGGATAGAGATATTAGGCCGACTACAGAGCTGCAAGGCCACTGAACGGGCACCCCAAAGTGCTTCTGGCTAAATGCCTTCAACCAAAGGTCAAAGCCAAGACAAGCAAGCCTAAATGAGTGACACCATGCTGGGGAATGGAGATCTGTAGAAGCCACTGTCCTCAGTTCAGCTCTTTACCGTTGTTGCAGGCTTTATAAGCTTTGACCAAGGGTCAAGATCGTTTCCATGATTGTGATGGCAGACTGCTGTCACTCAGTTTCCAAGACCAAGACAGGTTTTTCGCAAACTCCACAACAATTACCCGACTTCAGCAGTCATGTGCAAGTTCCCTGACTATTCCAAATTTTCTGGGTTGCTAGACACCCGGACTGTTTAAACGCAAACAATAGGCCAGCAAAGATTGTCAACTTCTATTTTTTTTAAGTATTTACTCAGTTAAATTTTCAAATATACGAGGCATTGCCCACGAGTTGACAGAAAGAGATTAACCCTTTGAAGGTCGAATTTTTCCTGAAATGGCTACTGAAAATATCTAATTTTTAACTTTTTTAATTTCTGAACTGAATTCTTCAAACAAGCTTATTTAAGAAAAACATTTTTGTTTTAATTTTTTGGGGAGTGACTGTATGAAGTGATAAAAAAAAATCATTTTGGTAGGAAGCGCACAACTTTTACACAGGAACACGAGACATGAGAACTTGCGTCTCGAGTTGCTGTGTAAAAGTTGAGCGCTTCCTAGCAAGATGGATTCATACGAAATGGCCCGATATATTTGTTTGAAAAAAAAATCCGTTGTATTGTTACATACACACAATTTATTGGTTAGTAACATCAAGATAAATTCTAAAGAAAAGAACTACACCATTTTTTTTTTACGATTCGGGGGCTCTGAAAAGGGGGTGCACAAAGTACATGGGGATTCGCGAATGCATACGAAATAATGAGCATTAGTCCTAACACACGAAGTATACACATTGAAGAAAATAAAATAAATTGGAGCACGAACAAAGTGTACTTGCTTGTTTAATAGCATTAGCACGTACTTTAACCTGTCAAATCCTGTGCCGCGCGGTGCAGTCGGAATCGGTGATGGACAGGTCCAACTGAGAATCATTGTCGCAGCCGATGCTACCGCCCTCCCAAATGCATTGCCCTCGGTTCTGTCCAGCACATTCCTATGTCCCATTTTCTGGAATCTCTTCTCGACAAAGCTGGGAGAAACTAGGTCCAATGACATGGCAATACCAGAAGACCTAAGGGTTCACACATAACTGAACAGCTCTTCTTCAACGGCAGGAAACTTGTATCAGCAACCACAGACTCTTCCTTCCACGCTGATCACACCAATCGTCACACGTTAAACTTCAAGCTGGAAGCTTGGTTGTGGCACGATTCCCGTTTTCTTCAGTAAACTTCACAAAAGCGAGCTTTAATTTTGCCGTATATATAATTACTGTAGCTCACCACAAGAGAACAGTAAAAACACGAAGGACTGATAGTGAAACATAAACTTCCGAAATCAACCAAGCATACGTTGCAGCGTGGACGCAGAGAACAAGGGAAACAGCTGGCGCAACAGGCCCAATATGCCCTCATACACCTCCGGTGCCGAAAGTGGTCCATGCCGTAACGCGAGCGTGCATTCACATGGTGGTAGAGATGGAGAGATTAGGGGAGGACAAACGCTCGAGCAGTTTCGGCAATCCATCAACAGGTTTGAGTGTTTGTGCACGGTATTGTAGAGACCCTAGTTCGGGCAGTCTTCGAAAGAAGTGACTTCACACTCGCAGCCCGTTTGACCGCGCTCGCCTGATCGGCGGGCCGCACGCCCGGCCCGCCTATCCACATAATCCAAAACTCTAGTCTTTATTCCGCACACCAGCAAGCTGGCTCGGCCAAGTAAGGGAGCACGAAATATGCGAGTGAATATTATTTTTTCTTAAGCTGAAAAAATATTAGGTGTGCACAAATTATGCAATGGCATAAATTATGCAAGAAAATATGGTAATATCAGTGTAGTTCACACATACAAAAATAAGTGCACAAAGTGGCGTTTAGAGAAAACTAAGAAACTAAGGGGGAGAAAAGCCGCTTTTGATCTAGTCAGCATCATCTTCTCGTGCACACTATTAAAATGTGACTCACTCATCCTCTGAATCTTTAATCATAAGTGACACTTGGTATGATGGGCTGATATTTACTGAATCAGATTCTGATTTGGCAGTCACTCGCCGCTAGACTCGCTTGCAGCCAAGAAATGGGTGCGCACTTCCATAGCACAAGCAAACTGTGTGGGTAAGCAAACTGTGCAGGTGAGCAGACTGTGCAGTTGTGAGTGCATCTAGAAAGCAAAAACAAGTCCAAAACCCGAAATAATCCATCTTATCGCCAACTAGACAAAAGCGTTTTTTTTTTTTTTTTTGAGTCCCCGAAAATAGAAACACAACCACACTGGCATTGTTTGTCCTTCAGCGCTTACATAGAAACATGTGTAATCATGTACAAGGGCACAATAAACAAGAGAGTAACAAGCGTGTCAACTTTTGAAAGATTCCAAACTAGAGAGCCATCAGCTTTGCAGATACAACGAGAACCGACCGAAGAATGAAACCGAAATCAGTGAGTGCACAGGAATGCGCGGACATGGAGCACATTCTATGGAAATGCCCACACACTACACGGCTTTTCGATCACCAAAGCCCAGACCTCTTTGAGACGCGTTGGCTCGACCCTCTGTTTAGCTCAGAATTCGAAGACCAAATTTCGGCCATCCAGCAGGCCCGGGAAGCGGCGATAAGGCTAAATGTTACCACGACCACCTAGGTGGCCTAGGCCCGGCCGCTGATCTGCCGGTTTTAAATTAATCTACGGAAAACGAAAGTAATGTACAACAACCTCGGAAGAGAGCAGCGCTTCAAGATAGGTAATAGTGCATTTGAAGTTGCAAAAGACTACGTCTCTTTAGGACAGATAATAACCGCCGAGCTGAACCACAAGATTGAAGTAACTAGAAGAATAAGAATGGGGTGCAGCACATTCGGCAAGCACTCTGACATCACGACTTTCAGATTCCCACTATCGCTCAAGAGGAAGGTATATGAGCTGTATCTTGCCGGTACTTAGCTACGGAGCAGAAACCTGGAGATTTACAAAGCAGAGTCAGCTTAAATTGAGGACGACGCAGCCAGCAATGGAAAGAAAAATTATAGGTGTAACCTTAAGAGACAAAAAGAGAGCATAGTGGATTAGGGAACAAACCGGTGTTAAGTATATCATAGCTGAAATCGAGAAAAAGAAATGTACATGGGCCAGACACGTAGCACGTAGGCAGGATAACCAGTGGTCATTAAGGGTAACTAACTGGATTCCCAGAGAAGGCAAGCGGGTTGCAGAGGGGAGACAGAAGGTCAGGTGGGCAGATGAGATTAAGAAGTCTCGGGTATAAATGTGCAGCAGCAAGCACAGGACAGAGTTAACTGGCAGAACATGGGCGAGGCCTTTGTCCTGCAGTGAATGTAGACAAGCTGATGATGATAATGATGATCATGCTAGTTCCACAGCAAACATACAAGCTAACATTAGGCCACGAATACTGTGCATGGTGTAGTTGATGAAAAGCTTGTACCACTTACTTGGGTGACTTGAGGTCCCTGTGAATAATGCTCCGAGAGTGGAGGTAGTTCATGCCAGAGGCTATGTGCTTGCTCCATTCCACCACAGTGGCAGGTGGGATGATGCGGCCATTCTTGAGTGCATCGTACAATTGCCCATAGGGACAGTATTCCATCACAATACAGAAGCACGGCTCTTGAGTGCACACCCCCCTGCGCAGACGATAAGGACGACAGAAAATTGTGAACACACCAAAATGCTTTTTGTATTATGCCTCATACCATGTGTGGTGGTACACTATGACGTACAATCAATCGAACAATGATCGCTGTGATATCCACTGCAAAGCAACATTTCTTCAGTGTAATACATTACCGATTATGCAGCCATATCTTGCAGGAAAGATTTTTATACTGCCTTTTCTTGCCCCCCAGCAAGTGAAACTTGACGTTGCAAAAGCTTTGTGCATGTAATGGACGTGATTCGGAAGCAGATGCTCAGCAACAGAACAAACGGTATATTGTGTGTTTCGATAAATAGCGGCATAGAAATGACTTAATTGGCACATGGCTCGCCTGTATCTTAACAAAGACAGCGGCATCTGATGTCGCGTTCTCCCATTCCTCCCTTTCAAGTTTCGATAAAGCTCACTGTCTCTAGGTAGATCTTCTCAGCTTGAATTCCTCAGATGCAGGACTTGGGCTGATGACACCAGGCACCACGTTGACAGGTGCTTGTACCGGCTGAAGCTGGCAGTGGTAGTCAAGTAGTGGCTTAAGAGTGATTCTGAACTCAAGTAATGACTTCAAGGCCTTTCTTTTCTGAAGAGACAAGCTCAAGCGATATGGCCTCCTTTTTTGCAATAATATTGACAAGCTTTATAACCAAATTTGCAAGTTTTAGAGCTGCACAGCAGTAGCAGACGCCATCTCCAGATGCGGCCCGCTTCCTTGGGCATGTTTCGTAAATGACCAAGAGGCCAGCACAGTTTGCGCCTCTGAGACTGGGTGTCCCGATTTCTTGCTGCTGTCATTGAGTTGCTTCCATTGCCACAGCCGGGTTGTATGCCACTGTTAACGTCAGGCTCCTTTCTGCCAGTAGTAATCCAAAAAACGGCATGAAGGGGGAGATGGAAGCTTGTGATGAAAAAATCCATAAACGCCGAGCTGACGCTTCGTCAACTGGACTTTTTCAAGGCTAAAAGAGAATTTATTTGTTTATTACTAGAGTGTCTACGCTTTGTACCCTCTCTGCCATCTTAACAAAGGAAGGGGGAGGCCTACACTGATTACGGGGGTTGGGGTGGTAGCATTGTGACATATTGTGTGAATGAAGAGGGAAAAGGCATTTCGTAAATAAAAAAAAGGAAGCGGTGGGGAGGTGAGGATGTGCACGTTTCACTGAATCAAGGTTGTCACAAGTTAATGATAGGTTTGAAATTCCTAGACTGAGCAATTCACTCGCTTTAGTTTTCTTAGTGAATGCCCCATACCACATGGATTCAAGAGCCCTTTAAAAACATTTATATCTATTGGCTGGAGCATATTGAACTTGTGAATAAGGTATGAATTTTCCGTCTCTTGCGGAGCGGAAGTTTGATAGAAGTATGTAGAGTTTGAGATCGTCGAAGTTGTGTCCTGCTCTATTAAAACGCTGTGTCATTGCTTTTGGTAATTTCTTTGCTGTGTCCACGTGATGGCCATTTAATCTGACATTAGCAGGCAGTCCGATTTCTCCAATATACTATTTGTGACAATATGAATATCCGATCATGTAGATCACTTTTCACTAGTGCAGGTACAACTAGATTTTATGCGACGGATATTATCACTCCCGGTGCTTTTAATTATCATGTCATCTTGAAAGTGTTTGCCAGTCTTGCATCTTCGACGGAAGCAATGTGTTACTTGTAAGTATTAGAATGAGAGTTTACTTTTGCATGCACTAACATGTCCTTGAAACTCCTATTATGGCAATGCATGACCTTTGGTTAGTGCATGCAAAAGGAAACTCTCATTTTACAGCCCATATAACACCTTGCTCCCGTCCAAGATGCAAGGCTGGCAAAAACTTTTAAGATGACTGTTAAAAGCACCATAAGTGATTACGTCCATCATATAAAAGCTAGTTTTACCTGCTCTAGTGAAAATGTGATCAACATGATTGAATGCTCACATAGTAACAAACAGTACATTGGTGAAACATGATTGATATGTGGGGTTTAACATCCCAAAACCACCATATGATTATGAGAGATGCCGTAGTGTAAGGCTCCGGAAATATCGACTACCTGGGATTCTTTACCGCGCACCCAAATCTGAGCAAACGGGCCTACAGCATTCTCACTTCAATCGAAAATGCAGCCACCGCAGATGGGATTTGATCCCGCAACTTGCGGCTCACCCAAGCACCTTAGCCACTAGACCACTACGGCGGGGCACATTGGCGAACCAGGACTGCCTGTTAGATTAAAGAGCTATCGCGCGGACACGAAAAAAATTTTTTTTAAAAGCAGTGGCATAACAATTTTATGTAGCAGCACAGAACTTCGACAATATCAAACTGCAGTCAAACTTTCGGTCAGCAAGAGATATAAAATATAGAGTCGTACATTATTCAAAGTTCGATGCACTCCAGCCAGTAGGTATTTAGCATTTCTAAAGGGACTCTTGAATTAATTCAGTATGGTACATATACAAAGAAAAGCAATGTGAGTTAAGCCCCCCATCTAGAAATTTCAAACCTACAATCGTTAACTTCTGACAACCGTGACTTAGCAAAACATGTACATCCTCACCTCCCCGCCTTTTCCTTCATTTATTTTTTATTCACGGAGCACCTGTTTCCCCTTCACTTACACTCGCACGTCCCAGCGCCCCCCCCCCCCCTTTCACTCTCTCGCACACCCCTGTAACCAATGTTGCCCTGTCGCCCTCCTTTGTTAGGATGGAGGAGAGGATACGAAGCGTAGACACACTAGCGCTACAGAAATCAGCCCTGTTCTAGTCTTGAGGAAGACAAGTCTACTTGTCAAAACGTCTGATCAACACAACCCATGCCGGTAGACGTTGCTGCACCGCCTCATTGCTCACGTGGAAGATAAAACAGTCTTGTTGGCTTTGCAGTGCATTTCAAGTGACTCCACATACTTCATCTCATGATGCACTTGTACCATGACGGTACCTCCCCGATGCCGTTGACTGGCGTTGCACTGCATCTTCTTCGGGCCTGCGCTGGTCCACTGCCTGTCATCATCGTCAACTGTAACTGACGTGATGCTCAGACACAGAACAAAAGGTTTATTGTGTGTTTCAATAAATAGCGGCATACAGATGATGTCATTCGCCCGTGGCTTGTGTGTGCCTTGACACAGAAAGCGACGTCTGATGCCCCGTCTTAACGGTGTGAAATAGTGCAGCACAGGATGACAATGCACACCGAGCGAGTGATAATGGCTGCAGAGCTCTTTCCAAAAAACACCAAGGTCACAAGTAGAGCAGCCTTTGATGTCACTTGACATACACTTTTCATTCAAAGAGACATGCTTTTAACAGTTTTGACAAAATCATCTTCCGAAAAAGGCACATCAAATGTCAAATGTCTAAAACTAAAGAAATTGAATCGCTGCACAAACTTGAAGGAAAACAAGGAAGACAGGAAAGAGCGCAGACTACCAACTGTTTATTGTCGTTTCTAGAAGCCAATATATACGCATGCTACGCTGCGCTTCCACGATGTGCACAAAACCAAAGATGCCGCAAACAAAGCCGACCCAAAACAAATCAAATCAAAATTGACTGCCACCACAATGACATATTCATATTAAAAGAAAAGCGGCGCACAAAAAGACGAAGACAAAGAAGAGAACCACACACAGCGCTTCTTTGTCTCCGTCTTTTTGTGCGCCGCTTTTCTTTTAATATGAATATACACCAACTCGCCCAACTATCTATTCTGTCACAATGACAAAAGTGAAAAATGGCAAAATACAAATGTGATACCCACCACAATCTAAACTGCGTATTCCCAAGGTGTGCGCTCATCTTTTTTAAAATTTATCTTTTATTACTTATTGCACCAAGCATCTACAAAGGCGTGAAAAAATGAAAACGTACTCTAGAGACTTTTGTATAAAAAACACTAAAAAGAGCGCTCAGCACCGAATAAAACATTAAAATAACAATTTTATATTCACTCCAAGCAGCCCCAATTGAGCAACCCAAAGAAGCAGTACGCCGAGAGAGTCAAAAACTATAATAACATAAAACTTTACAAAACATTACGTTGCGTCACATGGGAAATAAAACAAGAACACTCATGAACAAAACAAAAGAGGAGAAATGGAAGAGAACACAATGCAAGGCGTTAGCCACAACATTACACGTGACCATGTAGGAAGACCATTTCCCTGTCCGAAAGTGAAATTGAAGGCAATATAATGACAAGTGCATAAGCATGCCTTCAATTTCACTTTCAGTAAGCATGCCTTCAATTTCAGTATTTTGAACGTGCTTCGTGCCTTTTTCCTCATGACATTGGCCCCCCTTTTAATAGTTTTTCCAAAAAAACTGCTCATCTCTTGCTCAGCAGTTTTGTGTTCGGCTGATGACCTCAGTTGATTACTCGGGCGGGAGCTGGTATCTCACCTTCCACCGCCGCATGCTTTTACTCATCACACCACCACACTATCACACAATCTACTGTGCCAACACCATAGATACACTCTCACTGTTCACATACACTGGTTCACATACATTGTCCACTATACACTGGTCCATCATCTCTGCACTATTTCACAACATTACAACACACTTCACTGGCAGCATCTTGCAGAACATCCTTTCACAAACTTATTTATCTCCTTTTGTACTCCCGGCCAAAAAAAAAAAAACCCTGCCTTGTCTCTTCTCTAAATAGGCTCTCAGTATCCGTCAGCCATTCGCATAACGATGTTCTAAATGGCCTGCCTGTATAATTATATTTCCATTTTCCCAGAACTTCTGAAATATGAAATCCTTGTTCCATTCATAAGATACTCCACTTCTAAACCCTTTTCTCCTTGGCTAACACCCAATCCTGTTCATTGTGTACCACAGGGTTCTGTCTTCCCTCTACTCTTTTGCAAGTTCCTCTGCAAATACACCTAAATGGTCAAGAATTGGCACTTTCCTTTCTGTGTGCCCTTTACTGCTACCACTACTCTCTCTGCCATCCGAGTTATCAGGACTTTTTTGTGTGTCCTCTTCTCTTATGCCTTGTTCTCCTCGCTTGGCATAATCAGCCCTCCGCATTGGGCCATCAACTCTTCACAGTCCTGGCCCATTTTCCAAAATATCATCGTATATAGTATCTTCCATACACTTGGCCATGATCTCTCCTACAAAAAAGGGTGCATCTAGACTTATCTTAGCCTCTGGTAATCTCAGTTTCGAATCATCTGCAAAGATTACTGTCCCACTTCTACCTGTGAAATCTCTCTCATTTACAAAACTCCTCCTCACTAAAACCATATCAGCACCGAAGTCTCTTAGTATGCCCACTCGTTTGCCATTCATTTTTCTGTCTGCTAAGGGCACATCGTTTCCCATTGACATGTCCCTCACAGTGCTAACTACCTCTACTTTCTCTTCAGACCTAATTGCACATGCACTATTCTTTAGGTTGGGGGGTATCCGTGCACTCGCTACCTTCGTGCCCCTTTTTTAGGCATAACTAGCAGATTACTCATAATTCCTGTAGACTACTGCCCGTTCAACAATTCATCACTGCATGTCCTACTCGATTAGAGAGGAAACACCACTGCTGTGTCCTTGCCTTGGAGCCTCACTTATGCACTTTCCTCCCTCAGTGTTTTCTTTGCCCTCTTTCTCAGAATTCTTCAGCCCTTGAGCTTCAAAGAACTGGTCCATTTGTCGCGGAACACCGGCCTTCGATAGGTGTAGCGCTGCCAGAAAAAAGGAGCCGCGAGACTACTAACCAAATCTGATTCTTGTTCTGTATGGCTGAGGTCACTGTCCGACAATCCCGACATGGATGTGGTACAGGTTAACCCAGGGTCGACCTTTGGAACCCAATAAACTTTATCCTGCCATACTATGCTGCTTACACTGCCAGAGGCCGAAATGCAGTCATCATGCATGTGACGCATGAGCAAGACTGGCAAGGGTAGTGCGTCGATTTCAGTTCCTAATAAAACGCGTGTAAGTGTTGTGATAGATTCGGTGAAAATTTTCTGACAGAAGTTTTTCATTCATTTTGCTGTGCAAACAGAACGCAACAGCGATATCTGTGCATGCACACACACACACACACGCAGGCACACATGTACTCACATACATGCACAAACGTACGCAGACCATCACTTTCCTATTAGCTAGCCTGCCTTTGTCCTCGGGCTGGTATGCGTTTTGCAAACACCTAAAATTTTCTTTCACATACGATGCTGCTTTTTGTTCTAAACCAAAGATGCCGACACTGCACACGCCGACACCAAAATTTCAGCGAAAGACTCTTTTTAGTGCTGTTGCGTCAAAATGTGATCGCTCTCCAGGCCAACGCTTGCTGCTGTCGGAGCATTTATATGGCAAAAACAGCGTTAGCAAATAAGCTGCATATAAAACTAGGAAATCAATTTTGTTACAGCAGAGTCGCAGTGTATTAACAAAGTACTTGATTGGGCTGGTTGGTGTTGCATGGTAGACGAAGAAAGTGCTTAACAGCGCAAACCACAGGAGGGGATAGAAGAGACAATAACAGAGAGCTGAACAACCAAAGTTCATTGCAAACCAACTGCAATATATAGGAAAACAGAATCAGCGCATAACCACGCAACATCAGCAATATCGCACATACATGTGCCAAACGGCCTACCTTATAAAGAGCCAGTCATATCAGTGGACCCTAGATAACTAATTTCACAGCCGTGAAGAAAAACCAAATGTACGCTAACACAGGAAGCACCAAATTGTTTAATGAGGAAGGCTTCGCTAATCTTGCGTTCGCACCGATCTTTATATCCCCCCATAATCACACACTTGTAAAGAGTTGGCTGACAACCACAATTTTTACAATTGTTCGCCAAGTGGCTGGTAATGAAGTCTTTTACAGAGTAAGCGTGCCCCCTCAACTGATCATTAATGCATTGGCCTGTTTGGCCAATGTAATAGAGCCCGAATATAAACAATATCTTGTATACAATCGCTAAAACACATTCAACAAAGTGCGTAGCGTGTTTCTATGTGCATGCTTCTTTCTTAGGTCCTTCGCTATTCACCCTGCGACACAGCCCAGCGAGCTTGTCGTGTGCGCAGAACACAACTCTTACACCTATTTTGCCAGCGACTTTCTTTAGCCTATGGGAAACCTTGTGTACGTAGAAAATGACAGCCATGCTAGAATGAGGCTTGTTCAGTAGGCTGTTGCTTTGTCTCTTATCAGGCACTCTTAGTGACGTAAGAAAAGTTTCATCGACGGCAGTTAGCAGGGGATTAGGAAAACCTGCTTGTTGAAGGCGGTGAACTTGATGTGAAAAACTGCATTCTATCTGATGGTGACATTCTATCTGGTGGTACGAGCCACGCTCAAAGTAAAGCCTTATTCCTTTTACGTCCGACCATTCTAAGCTAGTCAAGCGTATCACCGCTTTTTCCTGCCTAAAGGCAGCTCTAACTCGCTCTTGTCACCACCAGATAGAATGCAGTTTTTCACATTAAGTCCACCGCCATCAACAAGCAGGTTATCCTAATCCCCTGCTAACTTCCATGCCGATACTCTCTTTACACCACTAAGAGTGCCTGATAAAAGACAAAGCAACAGCCTACTCAACAGGCCTCATTCTTGATTGATTGACTGATATGTGGTGTTTAACGTCCCAAAACCACCATATGATTATGAGAGACGCCATAGTGGAGGGTTCCGGAAATTTCCGACCACCTCGGGTTCTTTAACGTGCACCCAAATCTGAGGACACGAGCCTACAACATTTCCGCCTCCATCAAAAATGCAGCCGCCTCAGCTAGGATTCGATCCCAGGACCTGCAGGTCAGCAGCCGAGTACCTTAGCCACTAGACCACTGCGGTGGGGCAACAAGCCCCAATCTAGCACAGCTTTCATTCCCTACGTACACGAGGTTTCCCATAGGCTAAAGAAGGTCGCTGGCAAAATAGGTGTAAGAGTGCACACGACAAGCTGCGCACACGACAAGCTTGCTGGGCTATGCCGCAGGATTTACAGCGAAGGACCTAAGAAAGATGCATGCGCTAAGAAACACGCTACGCGCTATGTTGAATGTGTTTTAGTGATTGTATACAAGGTATTGTTTACATGCGGGCTCTGTTACATTGGCCAAATAGGCCGATGCATTAATAATCGGTTGAGGGAGCACGCTTACTCTCTAAAAGGCTCCGTTCTCAACCACTTGGCGGACCATTGTAAAAAGTGTGGTTGTCAGCCCAATACATCTCATTGCACACATAAACCTCTATATATTTAAAGCAAATTGCCACAGAAATGTCCACCACAGGTATGAACCTTTATCAACAGAACACTTACCCCCTACATTTTCAACAATCATAAGCCCAAAACCGCCCATCCCGTCCCAACTCGACCTGGCCACCCACCCCCGTCTGTATGTCAGGATGCTCTTCCGGTCATCTCCTGAGCTTGGCAAACTTCAACATTGGTATTTGAGGACGTAACTTTACGACAAACATGATTCGCGGGATATTACATGAATAATGTGACTTACTCGTCACGTATACCATAAAACCCTTTCCACCAGCCACAATACCCACACAGGGCCTGTGGCTAACACCCATGGTATATGGGTATGTGCCATAAGACCTACATCAACCCAGGACCAGCGAGAATACACCTTGTCTATCTTAGAGGTGCCAGTGTTGTTGATAATGCAGTGCCGGCAGCATTGTCTATGAGCAAAAGAAGGAAAAAAAAATCAGGCCTCAAACTGGTATGGAGCCTACTGGATGGGATCTTAAAAATATCCATGCTAAAGCTTCAAAGTGCTTGGGACAAAGACTTTTGCAAGCTTCATGTTGGTGCAACACCAATTATGTTTCAATTTGTGGTTATTTGCTTTTATAACGAAGTAGTGAGCATATGTATATACCTTCACAAGCTGTAGTCAAGCATTGGCCGAATACACTGATAACCGTTACTCATATAAGAAGCGTATCATCACACTGTTGCATGCACTTCGTTGTGATGAAAGTAGCGTCTCTACTTAAAGTAAAAGGCGATTTCATGTTGAACCATGAGCAACCCTTTGAATCTAAGTGCATTCAGTGTGCTTTGCAAGCCCAAAATATAGGCTCAACTGCTCAATTTATACATTGACGTTGTTGAACCTTGTAAACCTTCGCTCAGAGATAATTTTTCTTTAATTATTCCCTTCTGAGTGAACACAGAAGAGACTAGACAAAGCAGAATCCACACATGGAATACAGGAATGATCACTCACTTGAAGGCCACAATGTTGGGGTGGTTGAGCTTTCGTAGGTGCCGGATGTCAGTCTCGGCTAAGCTGGTGACCTTCTTAACAGCCACTGTTTCATCGCGCAGCTGGCCCACAAACACCGCACCCTGGGCTCCACTTCCCACAAACTGGAGCTGACCAATGGCCTCAAATGGAATCTCCCAACTGTCCCCTGTAGACAAGATGTAATGCGCGTTGTCTCTTGACCATTTCACACTCACAACATGCTTGTGCTCTTGCACTTCCTTTACGAAACAATGGCCCCATCTAAATATCAAAAGTTGTAGATTCGTCTTTATTCTTGGCACGATGTTATAAAAAACAGATGTAGCATATATGTGACGCTTCACAGGTGAATGTGGGCAAGGAAGATGAGGAAGACGAAGGGTCAGAATAAACTGGTGTTCTGACTGACGCCATGTCTCATCCGTTACACTAAGTCGACAGGATCTACCGCAGCAACATCATGAGCCCACCAAAGAAGATGATCAGCCTGCCTAAATACACCGGAGCTGAAGACGACGTCCCTGTTGACAAGTGGTTGCACCTCTTCGAAACGAAGGCGAACAACGTCAGCTGGTCCGTACGAGATCGCATCGACTGCATTAGCGAGTACCTGGAAGGTGAGGCCTTCCGCTGGTACCTCACCGAGATTTTCGACGCAGAAGATACGTGGGAAGGCATCAAAACAAGCATGATATCACAATTTTCTGCACCTGTTAGCGACCCCTTCCGCCAATTCATACACTGCAGGCTCAAAAGAGAACAGCGCATCAGGCACTACTACGAAGAGAAGACACACCTTGGTCGCCTCGCAGACTTAAAAGACGTTCACATAGTATCAGGATTGACTGATGGTGTACCTGAAGAGATCGAAAGGCGCCTTGCTGGATTGACGCTCAACACCCCAGCCAAGTGGCTTGCTGCTGCACTTCAAGCGGAAGACTCTGTCCACAGAGATGCTTCCCAACACTCGTCAAAACGGCAGCTCATGCGTCGAGAGCCTCATTCTACGCGACCATGGCTCCCTACAGGATTGATGCGCACCCCTCACAGTGAGTGCCGACATTGTGCATCTGCTGGTTTGCCGAATCAGTTTCACTGGCACAATGAGTGCCCTCGTCGTGAAATGGTGTCTGCTCTAACTGACAACCAGAGAAACGAAGAAGGCGGCCCAAAGGCTCATTAATACGTTTTGGTGCACTTGTGAACGGACACATGGTAAACGCAACTCTGGATACAGGAGCGACTATTACCTGTATCAATGAAGTTGTGTTCAAAAAACTCAAGCTGCAGTTGCTCAAGGATTCATGCATTAGTGTCCAACAAGTCACCTCAACCACAAAAACTTTGGGCCGCGTACACATACAGTTGGAAATAGGGAAGTTAAAGCCGGCAGTCCAAGCACATGTCCTACCAGGCATGAAGACTGAATTCTTGATAGGCCTGGACAACGCCTCCTTTTTCAACCTATCACTGGATTTAAACACGATGACTTTGTTTCAAGACAACAAAGCTTTGCATAATTCCTTTCAAACACAAAAGTGTGTCTTCAGCGCCGATACAACCCCTCTCCAAACCGTTGATGTCACGCACCTTCCACCATCGCAACAAGCTGCTTTGAGAGAGGTGCTTCACAGTTACGAAGACATTTTCTCAAAGTCTCAGATGGACTTCGGATGTATCGCGGAGGAACGACACTGCATTGCCCTCAGCAACAACGTGCCTATCCACAGACCACCGTATCGATGCTCCCTGGCAGACAAAGAGGAAATTGCCAAGCAAGTGGACTTACTTCTCAAGCAAGGTGTAGTGCGTCCATCTTTTTCCCCATACGCGGCTCCAGTCATTCTTGCAGAGAAAAAAAGGTGAAGGACGCACACAATTATGCATTGATCATCGAAAGCTTAACTCTGTCACTGTGCCTGACTACCAACCTATTCCGCGTATAGACGATGTTCTAGACTACCTGGGAAAATCGAAATATTTTTCGACATTGGATATCACATCAGGCTATTGGCATGTCAAAATGAACCCAGAGGACATCCCAAAAACAGCTTTTGTCACACCGAATGGTCATTATGAGTGGCTTGTTATGCCTTTCGGTTTGAGAAATGCTCCTGCTACATTCGAAAGAGCTGTGAAATCAGTTATCAGAAAACATAACTTAAAGAATGTCGTTAATTATTTTGATGATATCGTAGTCTTCTCCGACACATTTACTGAGCACCTACAGCACCTCCAAGCTCTATTGCATGCTCTAAAAATGGAGAATATAAAACTTAAATTGAAGAAATGTCATTTTGCCCAAGATTCTATTGAATATCTGGGTCACAGAGTGTCGCACGGTACAGTGTCGCCTATACGAAGAAACATAGAAGCTGTATTGCGATTCCCAAGACCGAAATCCCCGAAAGAGCTTCAGCGTTTTTTAGGCACCACCAACGTTTACCGCCAGTTTATACCGCACTTCAGTGACATAGTTTTCCCACTTACGAAGCTGTTGAAGAAGGACACACCATGGGAATGGAATTCCTCATGTGAACAAGCCTTTGAGAACATGAAATACTGTCTGACCAAAGAACCCATTTTACGAATTTTTTCTTGCGAGAAACCATGCATTCTTTATTGCGACGCATCTAACGTAGGCGTAGGTGCAGTTCTGAAGCAAAGAGATCATGATGGTAAAGAACACCCCGTTGCCTATCACTCGCGTAAGCTACTCGCGCACGAATTAAATTATGCCATTACAGAGCTCGAATGCCTCGCTATAATTGACGCTGTTGACAAGTGGCACTGCTACCTACATGGACGACCATTCACTGTTGTCACCGATCATGCTGCTTTACAATAGCTCAGAAACATAAAAAACCCACATGGCCGGCTCTTTCGATGGTCTTTGAAGCTGTCGATGTATGACGTTAACATCCGACATCAAAAAGGCAGCGAAAACATCGAGGCAGACGCATTTTCACGAAGCCCTATATATATGGTTCAACTCCTTTCATTACCAGAACTTCAAACTTACCAGGATGACCACCCTCGCTGCAAGTACACAACGGAAAACGGGGTCACTATCGTGACACGTAAAGGAATTCGCAAAGTGTATGTTCCTCTCAAGCTTCGACTGAGCCTTCTGCAGAAAGCACACTGTCAGTTCGGACACGTCGAGTAAAGAAAACTCTGGGCTTGTTGTCATCATCCTACTATTGGCCGGAAATCATCACAGACGTTTCATCCTACGTCCGCCACTGTGACATATGTCAGCGTTGCAAGAAGCCGAAAACCAAGAGATTCGGATCTCTAGAGTCACTACCACCTGCAGAACAACCCTTTGATCTTTTAGCAATGGACACTATAGGTGGCTTTTCAGGATATGGCTCGACAAAGAAGTTTATTCACTTGGCGATCGACCACGCTACGCGGTATGTCTGGGCATTTCCCCACAAGAACGAAACTTGTGACGCATACATTTCGTGCATCACTGCCATCTTTGCAGCAGGAAAACCCAAGAAGTTCCTATCTGATCGTGGACCAGTTTTCACAGCTGCAAAATTCAAGCAGTTTCTAAAACGCAATGGTGTCCACCAATTGTTCACATCCTCCCAACACCCTCAATGTAATGGCATGAACGAACGTACAAATCAGACTATTGTAACCCGGCTAAAGTGCAAAATGAATGAGCAGCCACAGAAGTGTTGGGTCAAACATCTTTCGGATGTTGTCGATGAATACAACAGAACCCCACATGAAGTAACACGATATCCACCATCGTACCTAATGTATGGAATTCCTTCATACGACACAATTTTAGACGCACCAATGGAGAGTGTGCAAGAAGCAAGGAAAAGTGCAATCAAGAACATGCTTGCCTATCATGAGAAGAACAAGATAATCTACGACAAAAAATTCCTACCACAAGATCTCCAACCTGGTGAATTGGTCCTCTACGAAACACCTTGGCACCCGAACAAAGGAAAGCTCAGTTCAGTCATGGAAGGACCTTACACAATTCTTCGCAGAGTCTCTCCTGTGAACTATGAGATCGATCGATGCGTAGCTCCGTTAAGCAGAACTACTGATATTGTGCACGTCAACAAACTGCGTCGCTACTATTGTCCCAATAAGTTGACGCTCTCACGGAGGGAGGGGGAAATGTGTGACGCTTCACAGGTGAATGTGGGCAAGGAAGATGAGGAAGACGAAGGGTCAGAATAAACTGGTGTTCTGACTGACGCCATGTCTCATCCGTCACATATATATATATAAGCCACAAAGAAATAGTATAAAACAAGTTTCATAAAAATCAAGCCAGTGCTTGTTAAGGAACAAGTGGAACACTGACTCGTGAAGGTACCACTATGTGATCACATTACTGAGTAATGGTCGTTGTAACAAGTGGCACAGAGAAGCAAGTGATGCTGTCCACACATCATTTCCAACCGCGCATTCCCCTCACAAGCTTTCATAGGGCTGTAGTAAAACTTGCTTCGCCACACCCAAAGACCAAACTTTTTCAATTTTGTTGTCCCTTTTTCAACTACTGATATGGTAGAGTACTGTCATAAATTTTCACTGTCTAGGGACAAATAGAACACTTTGTTAACATAACGAAAGTCTTTTATGAATGAAGGTTAACGGTAATTCAAAGAAATAACAAACTTATCACCGAAGCATAGCAAACCTAAAATTTACACACGTTGAGATAGCTAGAAATGAAATATACCCATGTCTACTTTCATGCTAACACTTAGCAGCAAACCAGAAAAAAAGTAATGTTCTAAACGTCCACAAGTGTTGCACCGGCTGTTCCCGCAACCTCACATAAGACGGTCACCAGCATATTAATGCAGTGTAGATAGTATCTGCTTCTGTGACGATGACGGAGCTTCTCTGAAGCACCAGCATGACACTGGACGTGGTCTCCTGCACAACATGCAAGCGGCACGAGTAGGTGGTTGTCCCCGTGGATGTGGGTGCCAAGGGGTGATGGCTGAGTGGTCTGGTCCAGACTTGAGGAATGGTGTCATGACTGTTGGCCTTCCTTGCCCATCTTCAGCTTCATTGCCAACACTCGGTCCAGGCCTCCACAATCAGCCTAGACATCTCCAGGCCGTTGCTGGAAAGCCCTGTTCCCCTAAAACGTCAGCCAAGCCTACTCTTCCGTTCCCCGACACCACTCCTTCTGTCTCGCGCTGCTTCGAAACTCTGGCTGATTTTCTTCTTCTTCTTCCTTCAATCGTTTTCTTCATTGAACGGCTATGGTTTCATTCGTGGCATATGCCCTCTTTATGAAGAGGTTTTTCTTTTTATATATATTAAAAAAAATGGCTCATTGGCGTAGTTGGACCACCACTGGCCTTGTCATTGCAGGCAAGCAAACAATCAAATCCCAATTTAAAGAAAAAATTTCTCTCTACTCTGTGCCCTTAACTGAAAACACTGCATAACTACACTGAAGTGGTTTGCATGCACAGCCAACATTTGTTGGAATAGGCTTCCATTTTCTTCTCTCATGCAAACAACCAGCACATTGAAATCACCATCAATAAAGCACACCAGGCAAAATTGGCCCTATAGCTTGGAAAACATTTTGCATTAATTTTGAAGTTTGCGTATTTCCGCGTTATTAAAACCCACAAAATTGATCCCACACCCATTTAGTGTCAGCACCCCTTTAAGCTGAGCATCAACATGGGGTGGCACATTTGTTTCACTTTAGATGATGAAAATCAGCAGTGCATAATCACACAGTTGACATTAAACTGAGAGAATATTGGTCCCACACTTACCGTTTTTTTACAATATTTACTGGAGGGAACTCTGGCACTGCAATCATTCAGCCACCATGGGAATGATAGGTAGTATATGGATCTTTGGGCTTGAGGGTTCGAACGCACTTGTGGCTTTGTTTAAGCACGTGTTTCAGATGAAAGAATGAATTGATGTTAACTATTGTGAGAAAGCGGACGCAGGAGCAAAAACCCCTCACCTGGCCCCTGGCTGTCATCAGCCTTGTGAAGGATGCTCCAGACCGGGCGAAGGCAGCCTAGCAAGCCATCCAGCCAGCCACCCGCTGCAGCCCCACCAGCTTCACGGTAGGCTACCTCCAACTCCGTGGCTGAGAGAGCCTCAGCACGGCCTTCTTCCTGGATGCACAGCACCCTGCCCCACCAAGCACAACATGTAGCCACTCATTTGTGCATCTCAATAAGAAAAGCTGGTGTGACTTGATGTTAGTCTGATACCAGTATTCTACAAAACGGTGTACCTGCACTGCTTCTTTAAAGCACCCCCACTTTATGCATTTTCTCTATTGTCCATTCCCTTATAGTCGGACACTTTAGCCCCAGTGAAAACAGCAAGAGTAAGGCTTTTCATACATATTTCAGTTCCTACTTCAGGTTTTTACACCAACTAGAGCATCATCTCTAAATAATTTCTTCGAGCAGATGAGAGGCTTTAAGCTAGGGATGTTAGTTGGAAATAAAGTATATAATTCGCATGCACAAAATATCCCTGCCATTATGAATTTCAAAGTATTGAAGGGATCAACTCATTTTTCTCAACCCACTTTTTTACGGCACAACAGAAAGCTCATATTTCGTAGGATTTGTAGCTGCAGTAGTTAATGCCAAAAGCACATAGTTATTTTACAAAGCAGTATTTTTATATCTGAAAGGTACGAAGCATAAATGTACCATTCCTCCAGCAATACAGAGAATTAATAGCAATGCCACCAGTCCTCGCGATTTGTGAAAGCTGTCATCATTCTGCGTTTGCTGGAGTTACTGTAACTATGAATAGCCACGTTCATTTTGAGCTTTTCAACGTTTTTGGAAAAGAACAAGCTCGTATAATGAGACGATGTGGCATTATACACATTCCCTGCATCTGTACCACATTGCATGCACATGGTTGCCTGTGCCTGTGTCATGGGTGGCTTGTCCCAGCGCCGTTTCTCTCCATATACATGAGTCAAGCCAAGTCACCGAAAATGTCACTATGCATATGCACGGTCGTGCCGAGTAGCAATGCTCGTCATTCTGAGACGAAGGGTAGGTATAAAAATTATGTCACTTCAAAAGCTCAGCAACCTGCAAAATGCATGCACAATAATGTTGCATGAGCACACTGAAAAGTTGCTAAGATGCGCTGATGAGCATGGGATCATCATGTCACATGAAGGCAGTGCCACTTTATTGCATACTAGTAATGCAGGCCTATAGGTACATTTTTATGAAAGAAGATTTCAATAATAACAAAACAAAACCTTGAACACATACAGCAATCGACTGTCACGGGGCCAGGTACATCGAAGCATCCATGTTTTTGCCATCAGAGGCATTACAGTTCATTTTTCACGACTTTCAATGAAGGAAAAAATATAAATCACCTCTCACAAAAAAAGGGGGGGTTGGTTTGAGTCACTGTCACAGACAATCTTTCCATCAGTGGAGTCTTATCATTTCATGTTCTGGGCAGTTGTTGGTCCCATTCAAGTACCAGTAAACAAGCTTAGTCTTTTTTTTTACAACCCCCCCACAACAAGCTTGCCTATTCGTAGAGCAGACCGCAGTGATCTCATTTTCTAAATATTATAACGCCTTGCGCCATGCCGACCCTTTATTTAGAAAAATAATTTCCGCGCCTTTTTTGTTCTGACCAATCACCTCGTACGCTCAGTAACGTGAACTTGCTCGTGGACAACTTGACGTACCACTGCACTTGTCGATTGGTCCTTTGCCCTACAAGACAGCGCCTTGGCCCTGTGGTGATGCAGTTGCGGCCACACAGTGTGCATTTTCAGTTTCCAGTGCTGCCCTCTGCCATTTAGTATAGCCCGAGATTACCAGGAGAAGCGGTATTGTCAGAACGAAATCCTCCGAGCGCGAAGAGAAGGGTTCTCCTCGCACTGCACCCCCACCTCACGCCGCAATAACTCGTGCTCATGTGGGGCAAGCCTTCCTCGGCCGTTGGCTGTGCGCTGATGAAGTATTACTGCTATCAGGTCACATTGTCGAAGTAGTAGGAGTCAAAACAACAAGCTATGTGGCGAGCCCGTGCAAAAATTTGAAATCAGCTGAAATGAATGTTCTAGCCACTGCAGCTTCCTTAATATACTAGGTTGTAAAATAGTGCACAAACACAAAGACGGAAGAAGAGACCACAAGGTGCTGAGCTCGCAACTAAATTTTGTTAGAAGGAACACACACATATATGAGACAGAGGACCTAGTCACATGGCACACCATGGCGACTGCGCAGCAGAGAAAACAGCGTACAAGAAGAATCTAATCACGAAAAAAAATCAACACATGTCTAAACACTGAAGAAAAAAACATTTAAAAAATGATCCCACCTACTTGCAAAACATGAGTGACAGTCGAAACATACTTAAAATCGCTTTAACCTAACAGCACTGAGCCACCTGGACAAGATGTGTTGCTGTTGCAACAGTTCAGTGCTCTTTGCAATTCTGCTAAGCAGAAGGGCTCATTATAAGCCTCGATTTTTTTAGATTTCCTTTCTAGATTTTGTTGTTCCAACTGTGCTTTGTATTTTTGGAATGCGTCAGAGTAGTGATCGACAATTCATGCATGGTACTTCACGTGCTGCCGTAGTTGGACGGCTTCAACAGGTCATCGCTTGATAACTTGAGCGGGTTGAAGGAACAAATTTTGGCTCGCATGCCTGCGCGAAATTCAGACCCCTATCAAGTAGCGCCAGTGCGACATGTTTCGACGGACGACAGCAGTTGCAACGAATCCAACGGACCGCCACTACCAGCAGCACACATGAGTGATACGATAGAGCAGTAGGTCGATGGTATTTCGCGTGCCGCAGTGGTCGATTCACAAGCTCACGTGCTTCTTACAACGCAACAGAAATCGAGCTACTGTGGAAACGCCGCGCTGTAGGTCGTGTGCACAACTGCACTTGTTTCCCTGCAGAGGCCACAAAAGCAGCGTCTGTTTTCATGCTCAACTTCCTTTACCTTGTAAGGCACATAGAAACAAATGAAAATTAACAATAACATACATATTCAGAATTTAAGCCCTTATTCTGGTACACTTTAGGTAATCATAGCAAAGTTATTAAGACTACACATTGTCACGGGGTCGTGACGATGAAGGGACAGTAGGTCGAAAATTAAACTGTTTATTCAGGTCAAACTTGTGGCCAACAAATGAAAAGTAAGATTACAGCGAGGCGCTAATACTGATAGCGGCAGGTGAACCGTCGTAGCCGCGATCCGACGCCACGACCCAACCACAACACCAGGCGACGAACTAGCGACCTCGACATTCTCATCAACGGCTACAGCGTCATAGTTCTCATCGACACCGTAGCCGACTATTCCATCATCAGTGGGACTTTTTTCGTCGCGAAGTTGAAGAAAGTTAGGACCGCTTGGGAAGTGGTCACTTGGGAAGTGGTCGTCATGGTGGATGTGCGAGTCGTGTTGGGTAAATGCCCGTACTCCGGTGGTAGACCTTGTTGCCTACGGCTGACTCGCTGGTCGTGGTTGGCGTCGGTGTCTCCGCTACGACGTGGACTTGGTTCCCGGCTGGAAGGGGGCGTGCGATACATGGATCAGGAAGCACCTCCACCAGATTTTACAGGGACGTGACAACGACGAAGGGAGCAGACAGTAGGTCGAAGATTAAACTGTTTATTCGGGCGAAACTTGTGGCCAGCAAATGAAAAGCAAGATTACAGCGAGGCACTGGCACTGATAGCGGCAGGCAGAGCGTCGACCGTCGATCAACTGACAAGCTGCGAAGCGTGTTGGCATTTATACACTTGCTATCGAAAGTTCTAGCGTTATGTTCTAGCGTGTAACCATCGGGAAAAAACGAAGGCGAGTAGGCAACTACCAACAAAGGCACCAGTATGACTTATGGCCGGCAAAAAGCCTTATCACAGTAAACATCCCCGGTTTATCTGCTCAGGCACGCGTGCGGCGTACCGTCACTTTAGGCCTACTGCACGCTTTTAGTAGGCGACTACCTGAACACACTGGGCTGCCGATCGCTGCCGCTTCATTTTGCGAGACCGTGTTCAAGCGCACACCGTTTTACAGAAACGCAAGGCACTCACTGCCGCGGAGTTCAGCATTGCGAATCGCAAGCACCGAGAAACGTTGCTGTATTATGCCAACACACGCGCCATACAGCTAGCATAGCGCTGTTGCTACCATGCTGCGTGCTTTTATTTAGCGACAGCCCAAATGCGCCTCCGTCTGCTGCCAGGACTTTCAGAGCATCGCGGAGAGCACATTGATTGCGGAAAGCTCTTCGTCGCCACGTTAACCCAGCAGGCTACTCACCAAATCTGTGCGTGGCCTAAAGCAGAAAGGGTGTAGAGGGCAAGCCAGAAGAGGAGAGGGCAAGCACATTGGCAGTCACGGTGTGCGCAGAGTGAGCGAAGCGCTGCACGCAACTAGCCACACAGTAAAAGGCTTGGCTCGTTTAAAAAAGAAAACCGTGTTTTAAAAAAGAAAACTGCGTCAGTTTTCGCTTAGAAACAGACCGCGGAACAACTGTATCATGGACAGCCGATTGTGTTCCTTCTGTTACTGTACCACGCTGCGTATCTCAGATCTCATGGCAGTTTCCAAATGTTCATCCGTGTCGCCACCCCGTGCTATCCCCCCCCCCCCCCCTCAATCAGACAAGCTTAAGGGTGAACAGCTCCTGGCACCTAGGAAAGGTAGATCCTCGTTTGATATAGGCTGTGAAAAATCCATTGCAAGTATCCTTTGGGATGCAGCGTCCTTTCAGCCCTCCCTTGAACACCTTTCATCAGCTCATCAAAAGTTGTGACCCCAGATGTTTGTTTGGCCACAAATCACAAGGTCAAAAGGACTTTTTTCCTTCATTAATGTTCCTTTACAGGTAAAACATACAATTCAGATATGTTCACTTCATCAATAGGCTTGTGCAAATAGTGAATTTTAGGCTCGAAGCAAATTCATAGTGAATAGTGGTTTTGGTTGAATAATTTTGAATCGAATTCAAATATTATATATGGCATATGAAGAAAAATGGGCATATTTATTATTACCTAACTAAACTGCAGAATATTTTTTGAAAATTAAAATAGGGCCGCTATGCAAATGCCATTTAATTTTTCGTTCAAAGGAAGTCGAAACAACTTTGAGTAGTAGCAGGATTCGACTTTCGGCCGGATGCGAATCATTACCCTTAAATTATGTAACATTTTATAATTTATTATATTTAGAACATACAGGTCGTCATAACAAGCTTTTAGGCTTAATAAAATGAATTGATTTGATGGTAACATTTTCATTTAAAGGGGCCGCGTGACACTTTTTCAAGTAGCAATCGAATAAATTATGTATGTCGAATAAATTATGTATGAGCCAATTGCCTCATGAATTCGCCGCCGCAAAAATTTTTAGAAACTTTCCAGTACGCGCAGAGCTGCAAAGATTTGCACACTCTGCCAGTGCATTCCCTCTTCTCTCGTCCCAACGAAAGCACTGGAAGCTAAACAGGGAGGGATGGCACGGGGGAAAAAATACATCATGTGCACCTGTGACCTTGAGCATTTCTTTTTTTTTTTCTTCGGATGCGCTTTCAGTGCTATCACGTATGTACACAGGGACAAGTCGGGGCTGCCTGCAGCAGCCCCAGTAACGACCAAGCACACCATGCTCCAATGAGCTAATAATCTCTCTGCCTGTGATGCTACGCTTTACATTAACGCACTTCAATAGGTCTTCATACAGCAAAGAGAAATAAAGCTCTTTAACATCTACACTAAAAGGTCTAAATACGCAGAGATTTTTGTCCGAGAAAAACTGAACTAGCATTTGAGAATTACGCATACAAAAGCGGTTTGAAAAACTCAGAAGGTTAAGCAGTTCTGCAAATAACTAGATACAGCGACTTGCCAGGTGCCTTTTCCTGAAACAATTGCCCCAAGGGAAATCTCGTAGCTTATATGTTTTTACTGAAAAAAAAAACTATTCGCAAGTAAGTGATTTTGCCTTCTTGACAATACAAGCTATATTCTTAAGGTTATGTCTAACCTTAAGAGGTAGACAGCACATCGCCTAACTACTGATCATTTAAGTGTTACGTCCTAAAATTCTTTTTTTACGGCTGTTGATGCTTTTTCTGAGAACTTACTGTATGGTTTAATTACAAAATACTCTTCCTTATCTGAAATTACTCGCCCGAGTTTCTTTTCTACATAACAATTAACCAAATATAATCAGGACATTTGAGATGCATATTGGATTCTTTGATATACTATCAGTGCGAGTGCTCTTCCTCAGGAATGACTAGTCTAGTGATAGTATGCTGCAACTTAACGAGTCTATTGGTTTGAGGTTTGGCTTAAAACAGTATTTTGAGCCCAAGGCTAGCGTTTTGCAGCGGCTATCTTCCAAGACTTCCTTACGATATAAAGGGAGGGACCTTTTTCTTGTTTTTCTCGTTGAGCCAGCATAGCAGTGCTTACGCATTTAATATTAACATATCTGGCACATCCCTGGGCATTTATGTTGACAAAAAAAAAAAGAAATCACAGCATATCCATGAGGTGAATGATGATGAGTGGGGCGAAGCATACGGAGAGACCAATGCACGAACAGACAGAGGCACGGACAGACAGACGCACTAAAGTATGGACGAATTGACGGACGCATCGCGCCAGTCATCCTCATTCACTCCGTGGCTATTCTGTGACACCGCTTTTATGGACATGCAACTGGCTACTTCGACGACACGGGACATATGACCCACAGCTTAATGAGCTTCGCTCCTAAAAAAAAGTCTTACCATGAATTGAACCTGCCAAAGTTGCAGTCAATACACTCACCCTTGGCCAAAGGTGTCTTCTTTGTCGGTGCTGCAAGCAAAGAAGTGGACTCAGCTTCCCGAATTCCACAATTGGCACATGCTTTCCTTAATTATCTGCTAACTTCCCATGATATTTACCAATAATACTGACAAATCTAACACTTATGTCAATGATGCAGAGCTTGTTCGAGTCAGCACGAAACCAGCCAGTAACAGCATCAGCTGTCACAGCCTGTCAAGGTAGATGAAAGGCACAGAAAGATACTTTTAAGGCTATTAAAACTTACCATGGTCAAAAATTTATTTTACACCAGGAAACGTTTCCTTCATTTTAAACACAGGACGTAAGGGGCTGTCTCACCATCACAAAAGATCAAAGGCTTATCCCCAATCAAGAGAGCATGTCATACATGAGGCACACTTAACAAATCAGTTTCTTAACAAATCAGTTGTAAGCAGCTAGTTTGAGTTTACATGTTCCCCTTATGCTGCCAAATGGCTTATAAATTTACTCTGAAATGCAGAGTGGCACACAGAGATGTTTTCTAACCACACTGCACAAAAAATTACACTACAAAAAAATTTCTTTTATCTCAGTAAATCACACCTCTGTAAAAGGTTAAAACCTTAAAAGAGGGTACAATAATTTAAAAATCGTCAATACAACATGGCCAATAATTCAAAGTTGCCACCATGGTACATGAAAAAAATGCACTGAAAGCAACACTTAGCGCCACCATGCACAGGGGGAGCACAAAGCACAGGCACTGGTCCTTGCAGTAACATGGCGTACTCCACCAACTATTTCGTGCCCTTTCCAAATGCATTTACCCTAAAATGCTACATAATGCTACTATGCTACCACAGTGCTCCATAAAGACAGCAACAGAATACCAATTAAGAAAGGTGTAAGGCAGGGGGATACAATCTCCCCAATGCTATTTATCACGTGCTTACAGGAGGTTTTCAGAGGCCTAGAATGGGAACAGTTGTGGATAAGAGTTAATGGAAAATACTTAAGTAACCTGCGCTTCGCCGATAACATTGCATTGCTGAGTAACTCAGGGGACGAATCGCAACTCAAGATTACGGAGTTAGACAAGAAGAGCAGAAAGGTGGGTCTTAAAATTAATCTGCGGAAAACGAAAGTAATGTACAACAACCTCGGAAGAGAGCAGAGCTTCGAGATAGGTAATAGTGCACTTCAAGTTGTAAAAGACTATGTCTACTTAGGGCAGGTAATAACCGCGGAGCCGAACCACAAGATTGAAGTTGCTAGAAGAATAAGAATGGGGTGGAGCATATTTGGCAAGCACTCTCAAATTATGACAGGTAGATTGCCACTATCCCTCAAGAGGAAGGTATATAACAGCTGTATTTTGCCGGTACTTAGCTACAGAGCAGAAACCTGGACACTTACAAAGAGGGTTCAGCTTAAATTGAGGACGACGCAGGGAGCAATGGAAAGGAAAACGGTAGCAATGGAAAGAAAAACCTTAAGAGACAAGAAGAGAGTAGAGTGGATTAGGGAACAAACTGGGGTTAAGTATATCGTAGTTGAAATCAAGAAGAAATGGACATGGGCCGGGCATGTAGCGCGTAGACAGTATAACCGCTGGTCATTAAGGGTAACTAACTGGATTCCTGAAGAAGGCAAGCGGGTTAGGGGGAGACAGAAGGTTAAGTGGGCAGATAAGATTAAGAAGTTTGTGGGTATAAATTGGCAGCAGCAAGCACAGGACCGAGTCAACTGGTGGAACATGGGAGAGGTCTTTGTCCTGCAGTGGATGTAGTCAGGCTGATGATGATGATGATGATGCAGCACCAGCCCTCACAGAAGCATGGTCTTTGAGGTTTGTGGCTGTTACAGGAAAGCCACAAACCTGCAAGGTTAGAAGTTTAGATGCCACCTATATGGTGAACATAAAAGCCACTAAGCATGCAGCTAAACGACTACATGCAAGACCAACATGCAGCATACGACAATGTGCTTCACGTGCAGAATTTCTTAATTTTTTTTATTAATGTTGATAAAAGAAGAAAGAAAAAGCAGCTTTTTAGTATTCAATTCTTCATGTTCAGCTGAGCCATGCCATAGGTTGAACAGAAGTCGCTAGAGTATTTAAAGAAAAGGTGGAATTAAGCTGAAAGGTCTACCTAATTTCAAGTAGACAATACGGTAAATTATAAAATTGCCCAAAGATTGTTATCAGCCCTGTAGTTTTTTAGTGCACAAAAAACATGCACAGAGAAAGACATGACACACAGAGGCGCTAACTTGCAACAATGTTTATTGTGGAAACAAGTACCTTGTTTCCTTCCCAACGCGAGTTACTGAGCACTCTTCAAATATTCTTGACCTCGTTCTCATGTCGCACCCTGGCAATCTTGTATCGCTAGTTCCTCTCCCTGAGAAAGTGATCACGCTGTACTTTACGCTTCGTTTTCTAATCAACTACCAGGCCCAAGACATTCCAAGAAAACCAACACACTCTACGATAAGGGTAACTACGCTGCCTTTAACAACGAACTATCCATATTTTACGACTGGTATTTAAACGACTTCTTCCAATGCCCTCTTGAAACTAACTGGTCTTTGTTCAAGTGCAAAATTCATGATTTGATCAATGGGTTTATACCCCTAATCACAATTACGGAACGGGCATCTTCTCCTTGGTTTAACACATCTCTTAAGCGTATTAACAAAAAGAAAAAGCAAATATATCGCTCGGCTAAACGATCCAACACCGCGAGCGCTTGGAATAGGTACCGCAGAACAGCAAACTTAAGGAATTTGAATCGCTTTCTGCGAAGGCTAAGCGTTCTTTTTTCTCTTTTACATTGCTTAATATGCTACGCAATAACCCTAAACAATTTTGGAAAGCCATAAGCCCTAATCCTACAAAACCCTTATCATTACTCGATGAACACGGTATTCCGATTCCAGATCATGTTAGTATTAAATTCTGTTTTCTCTTCCGTATTTACCCCTGAATCTAGCAGCCCGCTTCCAGATTCCCCATTCCTTGATTATCCTGTCATGCCAGTCATTACATTCGATTCATACAGAATTGCAAAACTAATCAACGAATCGAAACTGATGTCATCCGTGGGAATTGATGGCCTTAATTCCAAAATACTGAAAACACTAAGCCTATAACAAGCATTAACCTTTCGTATATATTTCAGCAGTCCATTTCATGCGGAGTGGTGCCGGAGGACTGGGAACTTGGTAAGATCGTTCCCGTCCCGAAAAAAAGTCCTTCATCTTCACCGAGTAATTATCGCCCCATTTCGATCACAAGTGTATGCTCCAAGTTAATGAAACACATAATTTATTCCCACATAGTACATTTCTTACGTTCAGTACATTTCTTTTACCCTAACCAACATGGTTTTCAAAAAAGACTTTCATGTGACACTCAACTCGCCCTGTTCGTTAACGACCTTAAGTTCTAGCCTGGATATTAACAAACCTGTAGATGCCATTTTCATTGATTTCAAAAAAGCCTTCGACAAAGTTCTCCATAATAGATTATTTTTGAAATTTCATGTCTTAACCTTAATTGTCTTTTTTAATTGGATATGTGACTTCTTGACTAACCGTAAGCAGTTCGTTTGTGCTAACAACCATCACTCCTCCCTATCCGCTCTAAACCTCCGGTGTACCTCAAAGCACCGTCCTTGGTCCTCTGCTATTCCTAATCTATATTAACGACCTCCCTAATAACTTGGCTTCTAACATTCGTCTATTCGCAGACGACTGGGTCATTTAACGTCCTGTTTACAATGAAAGCGACACTGTCACCCTACGATCTGATCTTTGTTTGATTCAATCATGCTGCGATAAACTGGCTGACGTCCCTTAACACAAAGAAAACCTGTGCCATTTCTTTTCATCGCCGACAATCTTATTCCTCCAAAAAATACTTCCTGTCTGATTCTGAAATTACAGCAGCTCATTCATGTAAATACCTCGGTATCGCTCTAACTTCAGATCTCACCTAGTCATCCCACATAATGAACATCAGTAATGACTCAAACCGCGTTCTTGACTATCTCCAAAGAAACTTACGTCTAGCCCCGTCTTATGTTAAACTTTTAACCTGTCTAACACTAGTTCGCCCGAATCTAAAATACGCATGTGCCATCTGGGATCCCCATCAAATAACCCTTATTAAAACATTTGAATCCATCCAAAATCGCGCAACCAGATTAATTTATTCGGACTACTCCTATCACAGTAGCATCACCGAGCTAAAGTCTCGTGCTAACATGGTTAACTTATCTTCGTGCTGCAAAGTTTCAAGACTGTGTTTGTATCATAAATTTTATCATGCATTGCATCGTTCCAGCTCATCGTCTTTCATGCCGTATCAGCCATTCGAAAGCGGTTTATACACCCTGTGTGCATACCACTGCCCATCACTCTTCATTTTTAATGCAAACATCAATAGAATAGAACGATCTTCCTGCTGACGCCGTGCTCCACTCCAGCATCGTCCATTTCAAAGAAGCCATCGAACAAATCATCTGTTTGTGAACTGTCTACCCCCTCATGTAATACCCCTTGAATGGAGCCCTTGAGGTATTAAAAATAAATAAATAAATAAATAAATAAATAAAGTAACCACATATATAGGCGACATCGCTTTACAATCATGATGATTGCACGCACTTCGCAAATTCACATATCTTTGCATAAATAGGCTAACTCCCTAGGGGAAAGGGCAATCAACGGTATAGAAATACAGTTATCTGCCGGCCTATCAATCATTTCAGCCTCGCTTATTTCGTGAGTCAGCCAACTTCTGCTGGTACCGAACTTTGAACAAATCGGCAGGCACATGGTATGGTCATCGTCACTTACACTGGCACTTGAATTACTGCAATGCCTGCAGTGGGCAATGAGAAACCCACCCCTTTTTTTCCTTGGCATTGTAATGGTGTTACTTCAAACATTCATTTACGCACCGCCCACTATGACCCACATATTTCTTGTCACATGTCAGCGGAAGCTTGTACACAACTGTGTCATTGCACTCTATA